TTTTTGAAAGACAAGAAGCTTGTGAAAAGGCTCCCATTTGGCCTTAAAAATGAACTGATTTGTATGCCCACAAGGAATTTTCCAAATGTAGTGGACATGCTCAGGCATTGTCCTGGGAACTCATTGCTCTCACTTATCTTTATATTAGGCAGCAGGGTGGCATTGTAGATAGAGTGCCCAGCCTATAATCAGGAAGACTCATCTTCCTGAGTTCAAACCTGGCCTCAGACACTAATTAGCTATGTGACCTTAGGCAAGTCATTTATCCCTGTTTGCTTCATTTTCCTTATCTGTAAAATGAGCTGGAGAAGGAAATGGCAAACCACTTGTGAAAAATGATTTTTCTTAGTAGTCATTATCTTGGAGACTCAGAGCTTCCCCCATCCCCCTTCTTCCAGATTCTCCTCATCCTGGGCTAATAGGTGTATCCCTGCTCCTTGTGTTGCCCTGATAGGTCTGGGAAAATGTTGATTCTCCCCATTTGTCAGGACAGGTGATATGGAAACCGATGTCTCTGACCAAGATTTAGGTGGCCTAAGTCCTATATCCCAAGACCTTCATTTTGATATACCCCACCTCACAGTGTGTTCACCAGTCAGAGTTTGTTGGAAGACCTTGGGAATACCTACTCTTCGAAAGAAATATAACTCTGTACCCCAACCCCTAAACAGAGCCCAGTTCTTTTGGGGGGTGAAGGGGGTGGCCCAGTTATGGACTGAAGCTTCCATGCAAGGCATGCATGTTGCCGGCTTGAGAGAAATAAAAATGTGGACACAACTTAATCTGTTTGTCTTTTTTCAGCCTTGACATCTGGAGGTTGACACACTCCAGCATCTTTTCCAAGAAAACTCCAAATGGGGTCATGAAGAGTAGAACATGACTGAATAGTGACAAGTTTTTGTATTGGTGATGTCTCTCTGAACCTTAGTGTCCTAATGTCTTAATACACACCCTTAAGCTGGCTACTTGTTGTCTGAGACACCATGGTGATTAGAGAGTCAGGGGACCTAGTAGATCTGCCACCAGAGTTAGGAAGACCTAAAATCAAATCTCAATTCAGACACTTAGCAGCAAATCATTGAACCTTGTTTTCTTCATTTGTAATATGGAAATAGTAACACTTGTTGTACTTCCCTGGGACTCACTGTTTCCTCCTCACCCCCATTCCCCATTATGTGGGAATCATAGAATTTTAAAGATGGAAGGGACTCATGTACAAATTGAATGACCAGTGTAACACATCTGACAAGTGGTCATCTATCCTTTTCTTAAAGAAACTGAGAAAAATGATTATTTCTCTCTTATATTAATAACAACTTATTGAGATTAAGATTGTTTTTCTTTGTCTCTCCTCATTCAGAAATAATCCCCAGTAGTTTAATACAGCCAGTCTTGGAAGGATATTATTCACCTTGCCATAAAACTTACCTGCTGGGACCATCTTATCTAGGTGGAATTGTGTGTGGGGAGGGGTGAGGGGGGGTGGGGGAGGTGGGGTTGTAGATCCTTTGTCTAGATTGTTTGAGGCTCTAGCTGTGTGACCCTGGGCAAGTCACTTAACCCCATTGCCTAACCAAAAAAAAAAAAAAGAATAGATTGTTTGAGACTGGGGGTACTCTGGGAGTAAGAGTGACATAATCAAAGTCAAGTTCCCCAGGACTTCATTAGAATAGGTCCACCTACTATATTATAATATATAATATAATGATATTCATTTTCTTATTGTTAACCAATCAGTTGATTACTGCCTATAGGGAACACTCACTTTTCCAAAGGTACATAAGCTTTGAGAGGCCTCCATGATTCCTCTTTTGGTTTACAAGGGACAACCAAATGACCAAACTTTTATTAATCATTTACTAGCCATAATTAGCAAAATGATTAATTACCCAAAAATTATATCTCTCAAATTTTTTATTCATCACAAAATCCAATGAAAGGGAAATTAATATCGCTCCAGACCACCCATTCTCCTTTTGTATAGCTCTAATTGTTAAGAAGTTGGATTTGTTTGTTTTTTCTTCATATCAAACCTAAATTACCTCTGCAACATTTACCCAATATTCCTGGTTTTACCATCTGGGGCCAAATGAGATGCAAAGAGATTTACAAGCCTTGGAGTTTAAAAAAAATGCCAGATTTTGTTGGGTTTTTTTGGCATTGATTGATGGTTGATGGTTCATAGCTAGCCCATGTATTAAGGAAGAATTAATCTTGTCAAAGGAATTTAGGCCAGAACATAGTATGGAAACAATGAAAACCTGGAGCAATTCCTGGGCTAGTTTAGGAAAATAGAGGCTTTTCCTAACAGAGAGAAGAGAATGGGGTTTGGACTGAGATGATCTGCATTTTGAATGCCGGCTCTGGTGCTTAATACTTGCATCGTTAAGTATCTTCTGTACTTCCTTTCTCTGGAACTCAATTTCCACATCTATAATATGGGGTCTGCTAGGCAGAGCATTGGATAGAGCTTTGGGTCTGAAGTGAGGAAGACCTGAGTTCAAAATTTGGGCTCAGACACTTACTAGATGTGACCCTGGACAAGTCACTTAACAGCTGTCTGCCTCAGTTTTCTCATTTGTAAAATGACGATAATAATAGCACCTACCTTCCAGGGTTATTGTGAGGATCAAATGAAATAATCGTTGTTAAAGGGCTTATCACAGTGCCTGGCACATATATTAGTGTTTTATAAATGTTGTTATTATTATTAAATGAGCAGTTTGGACAACATGCTCTATTTGAGAAAGATCTTCCTAACATTCAGAGCTATCTAAAAATGTGATGGGCTGTCAAGAATAGTGGGTTCCCTTTCACTGGAGACCTTCAAGTAAAAGCTGAATGATTATATTTTATGAATGATAAAGAGGAAAATTCTTGTCCTGGTATGGGTCGACTAGATGAAATCTATTCCAATTTTTACTTTCGCTGTGGTTTGGTGAATAGTATGTTGGATTTGGAATCTGAAAGACTAGGGTTTGAATCCTGCCAGTGCTGGGTTATCATGGGCAAGTCAGCCCCCTCTTGGAAACTCAGTTTCCTCATTGGTGAAATGGGACTGATAACACTTGTATTTCTGATCTCAATTGGTTATTGCAAGACCCAAAGGAAATAATGTCTGTAAGACTTTTGTGTTTTTGCAAATCTTTTAAAAGTGTTTATAAAAAGCTATGTCAAGTCATTTGTTGTTACTGAGATAGTCCCTTGTAATTCTAAATAGTTTGAGCCTACGGAACTTACTTTCTTCATATCCATGTGGTTAAGACTGCAGTAATAACTACTCCAGAGTATAATTGGGTAGCAGTGGAGCTGAGCTCCAGGACTATCACCTGGCTTTCTCCCCCTCCTTTCTTTTCCCCTCCCCTTCACACCTCTCTGACAAGCTTTATTTGATTTTTATCTAGCTCCTCAGAAGCCAGTTAAGTGATAAGTGCAAAGAGGGGTGATAATTTAACTTCTTCCACTCCCGGAATCCCAAACCACAGGTAACCGTAGCCAATTGCTGACATACAGGCTTGTGATTCTCTTGGCACCAGTTTCAGAGACCATTGGTAGAAGGAGTTAGAGGGCTTGAAAATCCTTGCAACTTTTTAATGTTTCTTTCCATGTGAATTTTTTTTTTAAATCAAATCTATTTTAGAAAATCTGATTATACCTTTCTACACCCTCACCTCCCCACAATACACTTAGTAGTGGTGGGCAAGTCAGTATTCCTCTTGGAAACTGTTTTTTTATCTGCGAAATGGGCTGATAATACTTGTAATTCTGATCTCACAGGATTACTGCAAAATCCAAAAGGGTATAGAGAATCCAAACACCTTCCACTAAGGAAAGTCTACAACTGAGCAGTGAGTTGACTTGCCTGAGGTTATAACATTTTATGTGACAGGCTAACCTTGAACTCAGGTCTCTTCCTCAAACCGGGTCAATCACTTAACCCTTTTTTTTTTTTTGCCACATTTTCCTCATCTGTAAAATGACCTGGAGAAGGAAATGGCAAACCGCTCCAGGATCTCTGCCAAGAAAACCCCAAATGGGGTCAGGACATTACTGAAATGACTGAACAACAACAACAAACCGCTAGTCTTTGCTACCTCCACAACTACCCTTAGGGAACAAAAATTCCCTGAGAAATGTCAATTTAAGAAAAAGAAAAAAAGTCTTCTTAGGAAATCACCAAATAGACTGAAAATCTGAAAATGATTCTGGTTTGGGTAATTGTGGTTTTTAAAAATAATCCATATTCTAATGGACCACATCATCACAATGGGGAAATTTAAGTGTGTTGTCCGAGTGAAATGAAAAAAGCCCTCCCTCTCCCACTTCTTTTCAATGAGTCATAATCTCCTTTGGGATTGAGAAAGGTGCTACACAAAGTCTCTCTCTCTCTCTCTCTCTCTCTCTCTCTCTCTCTCTCTCTCTCTCTCTCTCTCTCTCTCTCTCTCTCTCCTGCCCCTCCCCCCGCCCTGTCTCTCTTTGTCTCTCTCTGTCTCTGTCTCTCCATAAGACAGATTTGGTTCTGTTGCTAAGCAACCTAAAGTTTTCTTTTTCTTTCTTTCTTTCTTTCTTTCTTTCTTTCTTTCTTTCTTTCTTTCTTTCTTTCTTTCTTTCTTTCTTTCTTTCTTTCTTTCTTTCTTTCTTTCTTTCTTTCTTTCTTTCTTTCTTTCTTGGAGACAAGGTGTATATGGGGGTCACACTGAGAATTCTGTATTTTTGATTACTCATGTAGTTTGGTATTTCCTTCAACTTTTGGCTAGTTCATGTAAGAGGTGTGTGTGCGTGCATGTGTATGGGGAAGGGGGGGGGTGGCGATCCCCGATAAAAATTAAATAGATGTTTCCTGTTTCGTGTTTCATTTTCTTTCTGTTTGAAGAGCCTTGGGGCCTCCCCGAGAGTTGCTCTCCACCTCTGGGAGGGTCTGGGTGTATTTCCTCCTCCTGGATTGGCTCCTGAGGCCTTTTAAGTAAAGGCTTTGTTCTCTGGAAAGCGCAGGTCAGTTGTGCTACATGCCGCTACTGTTTGGGGAAAGGGAAAAAAAAAAGAGCTGAGTAATGCTGGAGCCTTCTCATGTGGCTGATGCAAACCTGGAGGATTTGCATCATCATTTAGCAGGAGTAAGTTGGTGTGACAGGAGCTTAAATACAAGCGCTTGAGGAAGCCGAGCTAGTTTCTAATGGCAGGGCAGCAGCAGCAGCAGCAGTAAGAGCAGCAGAGCAGCAGCAGAGCAGCAGGGGCAGAAGGGGAAGGTTCGGGCTGCCGTGGGAAAGGCACAGGTGTTCATGACGAGTAATTAGAGAGTCTGGAAGAGTAAAACACACCTTAAAGGGCCATACTTGTGAACACTAGAGCCGCGTGAAAGGCTGTAAGGACAGGAAACAGTTCGAACTCAGTCAGGGAGCAGGGAGACCAGACCTTGTTTTCAAAGTTTTTCTCCTCGTCCTGTTCTTCTCGTCATCGTCCTCCTCCTGTCCTTCCTCCTCCTCCTTCCCTCCTTTTCTGTATTTTTTGCTTTTTTCTTTCTGTTTCTCTCCTTTAGTTTGGCAGAATCCCACTATGGTCAGGAAGCCTGTGATGTCCTCCATCTCCAATGGAGGCTACCTCCAGGGGGATGCTCATGGCCACTTGCCCTCCAGGGGCAGCAAACACGCCCCTGAGCAGGGTAAGATGGTGCTGAAGAAAAAGATCACGCTGCTGAGGGGCATCTCCATCATCATTGGCACTATCATCGGGGCTGGCATCTTCATCTCCCCCAAAGGAGTTCTCCAAAACACGGGCACCGTGGGCATGTCTCTGATCGTCTGGACTGTCTGTGGGCTCGTGTCTCTATTTGGTGAGTTTATGTTTAAAAGTGGAGTCCCTTGAGGGTATGTCTGCGGGAGGGTGCAGTAGCATGCAACCTGGCATGCTGATTGGAGAGGTGAGCAACTCTTCTGCTAGTAGAATTACAGTAGATGAGTAGTAATGAGGGGAAATCATTCAAGTCATCTAGGACTTCCTGGATGACTTAAATAGTTCCCTCTTTATCTTCCCCAGCCTCCTTTTCTGATGAAGAGAAAATATTTTTATTTCTTTTCTTCATAATGATGGGAATAAGCACTCATTTTTATTGCCTATAAAAAGGCAAGCACTGGACATTTGTGCTTGTCTGGGCAATGCTAGAGCTTAGCCCCGAAAACCTCTGTGAAATGTAAAACCTGGTTGGCCTAGTTAGATTCAGTGCTGAGTTGTCCAGCAGTTTTCCTGACTTCTTATTGGTGAAACAAATGGTGAGGAAGTGCTTTTCCTTAAACACACACACACCCCACCATCATGGTCCTGACATTTCCTTGTGAACCACTGAACTATAGAAAGTCATGGCACAACTTGCTATGCAAGAGTTCTGTCCTTCCATGAGTAGAGGATGTAATTAGTATGTTATAACTTTTCTTCTTGTCCACCTTCCCCCCACCCCAGTTATCTGTGGCCTAAATATTGAGCTTGGTTGAATGGGAGTCTAGTGGCTTATCCAGTCATTTTTTTTCACTTGTGTCAGTCTGTTCTGAAAGTTTGATGACAAGATGCTTTCAGTGAAGTTTAATGAACCTGGAAAAAAAAAAGTCCATCTGTTGTCCCAAAGAATTTGGTGACCAGATACCCTCAGTGAAACTCAGTGAAACTCTTCAAGTTTTACTTTAGTGTCAGATCCAATACAATGTCATCTGTATTGGCCCAGGACATGAAGCAGTGTCAGTTAATGGTCTGCCAAGGACCAGAAAGCTAAATCCGCCCTTTTAAAGCAAGGTAAGTCCTAAGTAAGTTTAAGGATCAAGGAGAGTATATTTTGATTCCAGAGAGATACAGAAGAAAGATCACTGGAAATGGAGTCAGAGAACATGGGTTTGAATCCTGGCTCTGCCGCTATCTCTGTGATCTTGGGTAAGTTACTTAACTTCCTTTGGGCTCAGTTACCTAATCTGTAAGATAAAGGAGTTGGACTACATCAGGGGTGGGGAACCTGTGGCCTTCTAGGTCCTTGGGTGGGGCCTTTTGACTGAGTCCAAGTTTTATAGAACAAATTCTTTTATTAAGGGGATTTGTTCTGTGAAGTTTGTATTCAGTCAGGGCCACACTTTAGGACCTAGAGGGCCACATGCGGCTTCAAGGACGAAGGTTGCCCACCCCTGTACTAGATGATCTCTTTGATTCTGATCCTGTGAATGTTCTGACTTTCACACTACAGGCCAATTAAACTATCCTGGAAGAAGTGCTGAGTCACTTTCGGTTTTGCTGACCCATTCATATTTTTCTGGACTCTGAAGTATCTCATTCCAGTGATTTTTCTATTCAGTTTCAGAACTCAGAGTTCCATTATAAGGAAATTTACATGGACATCAAAACCAGTTGCCTAGATTTATACCTCTGCTCTTCAACCAAGGATTGGAATATTCTAGGTCAAATTTATAAGAGTTGGAGGTTTTCTTTTCTCTTCCTTGCTTACTTCCTTCTACTAGCTAGTCTTTTAGTTTTATTTATTTATATTTTTTCTTTCGGTCTGGAACCGTGACTTCTTCAGTGTAATCAATTTCTGCTGGGGAAACTCTACTAACTCAGATAAGCCACTTATGATCTTACAGATTTGTCTGGGATGCTGAAGATAAGTGATATGACCAGGGTCACAGAGGAAGAACTTCAAGCCAGGTCTCTCAGGCTCCAAGGCCAGTTCTCTTTCTACTATTGCCTGCCTATCTCAGTAGCAGTCCTAACATATCATTTCCACCTACATAATTGTATTCTGTCTTTGTGGATGACCAGGATAGATTTGCATTTATATGATTCTGATGATTTTACTAAAGAGTATAGGGTCTTTGGAATACTATACTATGTCAAAATGGTTTCATGCTATGGCTTTTTAGGTCATAAGATCAAGAACTAATACGAATCTCAGAAACCTATTTTTTACAGATGAGAAAATGGAATCTAGATTTAATATAACTAGCCCACGGTTATGTAGGCTAAATAGAAGGGCAGATACATGAACCTAGGCCCTCTAACTCCGTATTTCATGCTCTTTTCACTATATAACACTACACCTCTGAATATAGAGAAGTGTAACCATTACATTTCTTACTGTACATCATGAATTGTGACCTGGGTACAACATCTAGTATAGTCAATATAAATGAATTAAGATCATTAATTAAAAATATATCTGTCTTGTTTTCTGTATCAAAAATTGCTTCTGCATATATAGTTCTATTAGATTTATTCTTAGAGGAGATATTAAAGATTAATAAAAATCAACAAGAAATATTAAACACTGAAGAGCCTGGAACCTGTAATCACAATATCTGAGTTCTAATCCCGGTCTGCCATTTACTACCAATGTGACCTTGGGCAAGTCTCTAGGTGTCAGGGCAATGTCTCTAGGACTCAGTTAGTTTTCTGTAAAATTACAGGGTGTACTAGATGACCTTTTAGTTACTGTGTGTCTGGAGCTGTCTAGGTGCTGAGCATACAAAGACAAAAATCAAATAGCCTTTTCCTTCGAGGAAGCTTACGTTCTATGCTGGGATGACTCATACACACACACATACACACACACACACACATATAATTATATAGGAAATAAAACACATGATACCCATGTGTATACATGTACACACATAGACAATATATGCGTACACATGTAGAATAAACACATAGTGTGTATAATGTATACAGTATATAATATTTTATTATATGTGACAGAATATGCATAATATGACACATATATACACATATGTGTGTATGTGTGTGTGTATATATATATATATATATATATATTTATATATTTAATAATTTTTCTGTTTGTTTATAACAGAGGTGTGCTGGAATCGGCTCCTCCTTAGCCAGTTGTTAAATTTTCAGTGTGAGCATTTACACTTTGGAAATCAGCAAATACTACAAATTAAATCTTGATTTTGTTGATTGTCTAGACTTGAGAAAGTGATGGAGGAAATGTTTTTAATGCAGATAAAACTTTTAATGCAGTTATCCTTTTTTTGTTTTTTTTTTAGAGAGAAAGACAGTTGTTAAACATTTACTAATATACCCGTACTTGTGTGTGTGTGTGTGTGTGTGTGTGTGTGTGTGTACTTTTGTATATACACACATGGAATCTATTCACTTGGATAGAGTGCTAAGCTTAAAGTTAGAAAGATTTGGACTCAAATTGTACCTCTGACACTGAGTTAACATGGGCAAGTCATAAATCTCCCCAGGCTTCAGTTTGTTCATATATAAAATGATAAATAATTAGGTACCTTTAGTACCTAATTTACTTGCTTATTGTGGGGACAGTATGAATGTATACTGTTTTTATCATAATCCAGAATCCATCAAATGCTTTTTAAAACACATATCCTTCAAGCATGCAAACATCAGCATATGGCAATAGATGGATTCTGTCTTTATGTATTTGGTGATATTGATGTGATGAATTGGGAGGAGTTTCCTCCAGATGTGCAGAAGCATAGCCCAATTTCATTCAGCTTCTTAACTTGGATGAATCCCCGGAGGTGACTTCATTGAATAGTCCATATTAATGGGCCTTTGGTGTCTTTTAGAGACAGTGTGGAGAAGTTGATAGAATACGGGACAACAGTCAGGAAGACTTGTGTTTAAATCATTCTCTTTTGGGGTAAAAAAGACATTTGGGCAAACTTGGTCAAGTCGTTTAACTTCAGTATGTTGGAGGCATCTTCCTGGGGTTTACCAATTAAGTAACTCATAATAGGTGCAGGTAGATGAAGGTAGTAATGGCAGTAGCAATTCGCTAAGATGAGACATCACAAATCCGAAATGCATTAATACACACACATCTATATATACATGTACATATATATTTATATGTTTGTTAATTTGAATATATGTATATTATTTGTATATACATGTATACATATTCTAAGCATAAAATAACTTGTTCTGTTGAATTTTACTATGAAAATATGTCTATAAGTAGGCATTTCAATTCAATACAATTCCATAAGCATTTATTAAGTAGCTACTTTTATCAAATACTGTGGTAGGCCCTGGGAAATAAAAAGAAAGAGAAATCAATTAGTCCCTGCCTTCAGGGAGCTTGAATTCTGGTGAAGGGTGGTATGGGGTGGGGTGGGATAGGGTTAAACAACATGTACATTGATAAATGGGTACAGGATAACTCTAGAAGAGAGAAGATAACCAACTTGGAAGAGATTTGCATTCTCACGTTTCCCTTTGACATAGGCAAGGCATTATTATTCCTATTTTGTAAGTGAAGAAACTGAGGCATTTAATGACCATTTCTGGACTTGAATCCCACCTTAAGCAGAGGAGGTCCATCAAGAAAACACTGTTGTTGGGATGTGGCTTTGATTCCATTTTAACTTGTGTCCTCTGACTGCTTGTTGCTAGGAGTGTGCTCTTACATGAATCTACTTATCTCTGTTTGCCTACCATATATCACTATTGCTAGGAGTTTGACAGGAGTTCCTCTTTAACAGGAAACTAAACAAAATTTTAAAAGAGGGGAAAAAAAACCCTTTAGTTGCCTCACATGCTCCAAAGTTCTGGAACTAGGCTTAGGGGAGGCCAAAGCTTTGGCTCAGGACGTTGTAAAGGTGTAGTGTCAATAGGTGGATTTTACAGATCTTGTTCTGAACTCACATCTAGGCTCTGACAGTTGTGAAACCTGAGACCTCTGACTGAAAAAGCCCTTCCTTCAGAGCTTATGGGGCAATCATCCTGGTGTGTTAACAGAGAGCAGGTTTCGCTATTTGTTGATTCCTCTGGCAGCAGGCAGGTCTCCTGCTGGTCTTCAACAATAAAAATTCTAACTGGATCTTCTGGGTAGCACCAATAGGATGAATGCCTCTCAACAGTACCTGGGTTACAACTCTTTACAACTAGTTTGCTCATCTATTTCTGACTTATACTAAAGATGCAATAAATGGGATTTTAAAAGCTGTTGCCAAAAGATAACTCCTGTTGGACAGTTCCTGGTGGTGATTCTCCTTTTACTATGGACATACCCTTTAGCATATTGTACTGTCACATGATATTTACTCTAGAACTCAGCAAATAATTTCCTTTTGAATTATATTAACAAAATAATGGGAGTATTGTTTCACGATTAGTTTCCCAAGTAGCAAATTAAGGCCGGACTTATTTTTATTTGTCCTTTCAACTTTCCCGAAGGATGTGTCCATCCAAGAGATTTGGCTTGACTAATTCAGAGAACTCTTAATAGTTATGTCATTTACAAACTGAGTCCTTCAAGTTTAAAATTGTCAAAGTGTATAATTTTGAGACTTTCTTAAAAAAGAGCTACTGAGGGTTCTTTATCATTCTTTGACATGGAAGCATGATGTTTCAAAACAATCTCGAAAGGAAGAATGGGGTCAATTGCAGATAATTTATTACCCAAGATTATTCACCTCTGCAGATAGGTTAAATGTTATACCTGTTGAAGGGGGAAAAAACTATTGATACTAATGATATGCTCTATATTTTAGGCTCAAATCTGCCAGAAACAATTTTATTTGATATATTAATTTATAACCAAGCCATTTTTAGCTTTTTACAGTTGGAGAAACTGAGGCAGATAGAGATTTAAGTGACTTGCTTAGAGTCACAGAGCTAAGAATCTGAGGCAGGATTTGAACTCAGGTCCTCCTGAATCCAGAGCCAGTGCTCTATCCACTGCACCACCTAGCTGCCCCTCCTTCTGACTCTGGACACAGCACTTTATCTACTGTGCCACCTAGTTCTCTCTATGGGAAGAGTTGGTGGGCATTGAATAAGATAACTTATTTTCTTTCCAATTTGAAAAGATGATACAACTAATAACTGATGCTTATTCCATGTATCCCAAAATTTTAGTGCCTTTGACTTTCAAAAGCTTACTTAAAATTTAAAATCTACATACCAAGGATATGGAAACTCAAAACTGCACTAAGATTTTTGGGATACTTTGAAGAGTTATGTATAACATTTTTATATTGAATGTTGCAAAATGATTTACAGATTCGTAAAGAAACATTCCTTTAGAAAGGTAACTTGACTTACTAATTCACATAGCATGTCCCAGTGGTTGGATTTGAATTCAGGGCTCTTGGAGTCCACATCTAGTCCTCAAGATAGAGGTGATATTTTTAAGGTTGCCCTTTAGCTAAAGATTTTGCTTTGGTGCCACCTGAATATTTTGACATGATTTTTAAAAAAATTATGATTCTTTTTTTCTTCATGAATCTTTCACAGGGGCTTTGTCTTACGCTGAACTGGGGACGTGTATAAAGAAATCTGGTGGTCACTACACTTACATCTTGGAAGTCTTTGGCCCATTACCAGCTTTTGTCCGAGTCTGGGTGGAGCTCATCATAATACGGTGAGCACACTGGTTGCTTTACTGATCTTCTTCCTTTCACCTGTAGAGTTCTTCTGAATTGCCTGGATTACTTCCAGCTAATAGTTTGTGGCACATGTGTTAACAGGAAGTACAGAGGAGGCAAAAAGAGCTGTGTGAAGTGCGGCCTCTGAAACACACTAGTATTGTGATGCTGGACAAATGTCTTAATCTTTTAGAGCTTTAGGCAACTCTCTGAGACTGTTAGAGACAGTAGTCAAAATGAATCTATTGAAGAAGCTGGCCCAACAAGGCTTCCATTCATTAATGAAATCATGTGCATGGACACTCCCTCCATCAAAAAAAAAATCACATATGTTTAAGACTTTAAAAATTAAAATATATAATTTCTTTATACTTAAAACTTGATGTTTGCTTTTTGAATTTGACAAACGTTTATTAAGTGGCAGGCACTTTGGTAAGGGTATTTCTATTTTATTTGCTGTCGCTCTATTCCCCAAACATGGTAAAACATCGCAAGTGTCCAATGTTGCATAAGTTTTCAATTATTCAGTTTGCAATTCTAGCAAATACATTTGGTTTTTAAGGCTACAGAGCATGAAATTACCCATTGGAATAGCAAAATAATGCCTTGAGTATGGATTATTCAGACCCTGCCCAGACAAGAGTGCAATGTTAGCATGACTTGGAACTTTTCATTGACTCCAAATTACACAACTAAGTCCATATAACTTTTCTACCGTTCTAGTGGTTCAGAGGCTTTTGTGTCCTCCCCAGTTAGCTTGGTGTGTCACTGGGTCCCCTCAGGTACTGCGTGCGAGTAATTTACTTATTCATAATGACTCACTTCCTCCCATAAAGAATCCCAGAAGTTCCAGTTATGTAAGCAGGCTTTCTTGTGTTGTTGAAATTGATCTTCCTGATTTCTCGGTTGGAAATTCAAACCAATAATGCTAAGTCACTCTGAATTGCAGTTAACACACATGCACACATATACCCTCAATCACTGAATAAACAATCTTTTAAAACCCTCTTATGCCTTAAAAAATAGTCTTCATCCTCTTAACTTCACAATTTCAAAATCTAAGCCAGGATTTTCCGATTCCAAAGTCCACCATAATAGCTAGGGGAAACATTCACCAAGTGTCTAATTTATCAGAATTGCACTGCTGAGTTCCCATGGAAGCTTTTATTTCTGTCTCCCACAGCTCACAGGCAAATGATTTACTGTTAGAGAATGGACTTGGCATCAGTGATGATGATTTCCATGGTCAAAGGAATCTCTCTTTTAACAAAAAGCTACAAAGGAGTAATGCCCCCTTAGTGGAATTTGTTTTCCTTTCAAATGCTTTTTCATTATTTCAACCTTGTCATAGTGGAATACCAATAAGGAAATATTTCCTTTACTCCCTCTAAAGATCTTCTGCCCATGTTGCTTTCCTAGCCTGGAATCTGTTGCACATGTCTGCCTGACTCCTCTCTACTCCTCTGAATCCTATCCCTTGTTCAAAGACTAACTCAATCAGTCAATCAATCGATATTTATTAAGTGCCTATTATATACTGGGCACTGTGCTTAGCCCTGGAGATGCAAAAGGGAGCAGAAGACAATCCCTGCCTTCAATGAATTTATAATCTTGTGAGGAAGACCACATGCAAATAAATGTATACGAAGAAAGCTATTTACAGGATAAATAGGAAATAAATAGCAGAGGGAAGGCTCTGGAATAAAAAGAAATTGTGGAAAGCTTCCTGTAGAAGGTGAGGTTTTAGTTAGGAGTCACCAGAAGCCTAGGAGATCAGAGAGGAGGGAGGGCGTTCCTGGCATGGGCTACAGCCAGAGGAAATGCCTGGAGACGAGAGGCAGTGTGTCTTGTTCCTGGAAGGGAGTGTCACTGAATTGAGGAGTAAGTGTCAGGGTGAACATTGTTAGACTGGAAAAGTAGGCGGGGGCTGGGTTATCATAAGCTTTGAATACCAGGCAAAAAGCTTTGTATTTTTTCTTGAAGCCACTGGAATAGGGGATGACACGATCTGACCCACCTCATAGAATTATAGAATGCTAGAGCTATAAAGGAATATAGGTTGATAAATTTGAGCCTAAAGGGACCTTAAAAGGCAACTAGGTGACATTAGAGCACTGAGCCTGGAGTCAGGAAGACCTAAGTTCAAATTCTGCCTTAGACACTATGTGACTTTAACCTCTCAGTTTCCTCATCTATTAATGGAATATGATAATATGATATGACACGACATGATATAACACAAAATAATACAGTAGTGTAACATCTCATGGCATTATTGTGGTTTGGGGTTCTAGGAACCCCAAAATGCAAGGGTGCCTTGAAAGAATTTATACCACTCAAGCCTTCTTTTAGTCATAGTAACAAGATTTATTGTATGCCAAATAGAAGTGAGGGTATTCTAAGAATCTGCCCAATTTAATAGGGGTAAGATTAGTACTTTTATACAGAGGAAGGGGGAAAGAGTCAGTGAGAAGATCTGGAGTAGCAAGGAGTCTAGGGTGGGCCAGGTGCAGGCAAATGAAAGGAGTTGAGTGGTCTGGGCTGGGTCTGAGGGCTATAGTGAAAAGACAAAAGGATTACTGGGATGGGCTGAATGCCTCAGGTGATCCCAGGGATCTGGGCTGCTGAAATGTATGGGGGGGTCCAGATCCCCCATCAACATGGCATGACATGATACAGCAAAACATAAATAATAATAGCACCCACCTTCCAGGGTTGTTGTCAGGATCAAGTAAGTTGTCACATGTAAAGCACTTAAACCTTAAAATGCTTTATAAATGTGATTGTTATTCTTATGTCATCTCATTTGATCCTCACAATAAACCTGCAAGGTAGGTGCTATTATTATCCCCATTTTATGACTAAGGAAACTGAGGTGAACATAGGTTAAGTGACTTGCCCAGGGTCACACAGCTAATAAGTGTCTGAGGCCAGATTTGAACTCAGGTATGTCTGACTTCGGGCCCAATGATCTATCCATTGCACCACTTAGTTGTGATTTGTCCTTCTGTGTACTCCACAGAAGGTATGTACTCCACAGGTACTGCATAGTGCTCTGCTTTGGTATTTATTCGACCTTGGGTTAGGGTTGCCGCTTATATTCTCTCTCTGACTTAATTGTAAATTTCTGGTGGTGGAGGCCAACCCTTTCCCTTCACAACACAGTGCCTTACAATAGGTGTCCAATCTCTATTTTTAATGGATTTTGATCTTTAAGAATTTCGGCTCTCATATTTTGAATCCAGGAGACTTACGCTTTCATATGAATATTGGACTTAGCTGGAGTTATAGGCTATACTTGAAATGTCAGATTATCTCTTCCTCCCCCATATGGTAGGAAGATGCTATTAATTTGAAATGTCTATGCTCTTGGAAATCAGGGGAAAAGGTTAGACATTTTGATGACTTTTTCAGTGATAGTCATTGTGAGACACCAGAATCTATTACCAAGGGAGGCAGTTTAATCTTCTCAAGGGATTTTAAAGAAGATAGTTGATGTGTATCTCCCTGGAGCAGTTCAGCATAATGTAGTATAGATGGGCCAAAGGACTATGCTGCTTTTTGGCTGATGGCCTCCTAGACCTGTCCAGAGTTAGGTTGGGGGAAAAATAAGAGGAGTTTCCTATTTGTGCATTCTTGCTCCCCATTGCACCGGAAATCCCCCTCTCCTTTCCCAAATTTCATACTTACAAAGTGGTTAGGTAGACACTAAATAGCATTCTGAGGATACAGAAGGGTCTGCTGTTCTTGTGTTTCCAGAAAGCAGTAGATAATTGGTTATCAGAGTTTATGTGTGTGTGTGTGTGTGTGTGTGTGTGTGTGTGTGTGTGTGTGTGATCAACCAGTGATAGTAGAAGCATCACTATAGAATGAAAGGGAGCATTTGTTTTGGAGTCAAAGGGTCTGGATTTAAATCTACCACTATTATTATTATTACTCTCTGTTTGATATTGGGTAAGTCATTTACTGAGTCTGGGGCTCCGTATTCACATCCGTAAAGGATGAGGGTAGATTATACAGACTCTGAAGTAATTTACAGCAATGAATCCATGATTCTATTATCCTTCTCTTTCTGCCCAATTATCTGGAGACTATTGTGTGCTAACCTAGTGCTGATTGACATTTCAGCCAAGCACAGTAATAGTGCCAAGGAGAGGGAGTACACACAAATACACATATGTATGTATATCGTGCCCTATAATTATTTGGGAATCCATTAAAATAAAATTTCTTTCCTGGAACCCTGGTGCTACGGAAAATAGATTAGATTAGGTCTGACAGACTCTGTTGAGTCTTTGGGTAAAAAGACCTGGTTCTAAGGTAGATGTAGGCAGAATTGACAGACTTGGATTGATTTGAGAGGTACTAAGATGTCGCTAACTTCTCCACCCACTAACCTATCTTACTATATGATTTCATTGACTCATCCATGAAAGAATTGAGAACTGGGGTGGAATTTGGAAAGCATCTAGCCCAACTTGCTTATTATGCAGATAAGAAACCCGAGGTCACAAGAGTTTAATTTGTTTTAGGTCACCACAAGTGGGAAGTAGCAAAGTGGGCTTCCAATCCAGGTCTTCAGACCTCAACCTTTAACTGCTCCTCTGTGCCAAACCATTGTCTATAGATAGTTATCACTAAAATGCAAATATGTTATAAAAGCTGGCCCATACTATCGAGTTGCTTAGTCGTTCAATCTTCTAACTCTTCCTGACCCTGTGTACCATACTGTTCATGGGATTTTCTTGGTAAAGATAACTGAACCAGATGTCATTTCCTTCTCCAGTAGATTAAGGCAAACAGAAGTTAAGTGACTCGCCCGGGGTCACATATCTAGTAAGTGTCTGAGATCGAATTTGAACTCAGGTCGTCCTGACTCCAGGCTCTGTGCTCTATCCACTGAGTCACCTAGGTGCCTCATATTATTATATTAGAGCCTTCCAAATAATAGCATAAATTAGTTTACATTGTGCACTGTTGCCTAGAGTCATAACAGGGTGAAGAAGAAGTAAGAGAAGGAATAAATAAGTTTAGTTATCAAGAGGAGAGTCAGAAAGGAAATGGATAGATCTTGCAGGGCCTTTTTGACTTCTCAGAGAGCACAAGGTAACTGTGAGAAAGAGGCACCAAAAGAGGGGGAAGAAGCTGAAAGGGAAAGGTTGAATGAGTACTGTGGGGGAGGAGGAGATCAATTTCTCCTACTTCACATTTTTGCTTATATATGTGTCTATTTGCATATACATAAAACACATTAACACACAAATGAATATATTCAGATATATGCATAGGCATATGTATATACAGGCAGCTACATAGCCTAGGAGACAGAGTGCTGGACTTGGAGTCAGGAAGACCTGAATTCTATTTCAGTCTTAGACCCTTAGGTACTCTGTGACTTTGGGCAAGTCACTTAATAGCTGTCTGCCTCAGTTTCCTCATCTGTAAAATGGGAATAATAATAGCACTTGAATCCCAGGGTAGTTATAAAGATAAAATGAGATCATTGTAAATCTCTTTGCAAACCTTAAAGTGTTATAAAATGGTAGATTCAATTATTAATTATTATGATACAAATACATGTATGCATATGTGTATATATACAAACATATATCTCTCCAAATACACACACACACACACACACACACACACACACACACACACTGTGAGATGTATAAAAGTTGGATAAGCTGTCTTGGGCAGTGATGGGTTTGCTCTCCTTGATGTCTTCAAGCAGAGGCTGGATAACTATATTTCGAGTATGTTTTAGTATCAGGAAGGTAGGGGCACAAGGAGGGCCAGGAATCTGGAGGACCTGAGTTCAGATGTGGACTCAAACACTTCCTAGCCAGGAAAGTCACTTAACCTTGCTGTTTCTCTGAGTTTCTTTGTCTGAGCTGGAGAAGGAAATGGCAAGCCACTCTAGTTATCTTGGCCAAGGAAACCCTAAATGGGGCAATGAAGAGTTGGAAATGACTCAACTACAACAATGTTCTAGGGATTTCTTTTATGTTTGGTTTGGACTACATGGCCACCAAAATCCCTTTCACCTCTCAGGTTTCATCAGTTTATCAGGAAGATCTGGGTTAAAATTCTGCCTTTGACTTTTACTAGCTGTGTGACAACAAGCTGGTCCCTAATTCTTTCTAAACCTCAATTCCTCCGTCTATAAAATGGGGATGATAATGCTTCACAGGTTTAATGTGAGGATGAAATAGCATAATGTATGTAAAAGTCCTTTGCAAACCTTAAAAAGCCATATAAATGTCAGCTCTCATTATTACTGTGATTTTATGAAGTACAACAAAGATCTTCAACATAAAAAGAAGCAAGTGTTTCATATACTAATGAATGTTAAATTGAAGCATCAAAACTTGAATGCAAATGCTCTCAGCTTTCTCCTATCGTGACCGTTTTCTCTGTACTATCTAGCCCTGCTGCCACTGCTGTGATATCCTTGGCATTTGGACGCTATATCCTGGAACCATTTTTTATTCATTGTGAAATCCCAGAACTTGCAATCAAGCTAATTACGGCTGTGGGCATCAGTAAGTATCACAGGCATGATCGTGAATGGTGCATAAAGTAGTAGCAGAAGTAATTTGTTTAATCCATGTTCAGTCTCTTTTCACCACAGACCTCTCCTCACGTAACTCTTTTCCTTTCATACTGGTTCTACAAGATTTGTTAAGTAGGAGAATTCAAACTGGAGGCAGTGTGGAGTAATGGAGAGGGTACTAGGTTCAAATTTGACCTCAGACACAACACTTATTGATCTTGGATAAGTCACTAAACCTTTCTGTACCCCACTTTCCTAATATGTAAAATGAGAGGGTTGGACTCCATATCCTCTAAGGTGCCTTCTAACGCTGAATGGATAATCCCATGAAATGCCAGGCATTGGTAATTTGGTAGTTACTTACCCTTCACTATTGCAGTTGGAAGAAAATATGGTGGATAATGGGGAAGCTAGGTGGCACAATAGGTAGATTACCAGGCCTAGAGTCAAGAAGACTGACTCATCTTCCTACATTCAAACCCAGCCTCAGACACTTACTAGCTGTGTGACCCTGGGCAAGTCACTTAACCCTGTTTGCCTCAGTCTCCTCATCTGTAAAATGAGTTGGAGAAGAAAATGGCAAACCACTCCAGCATCTTTGCCAAGAAAACCCCAAATGGGGTCACAAAAAGTCAGACACAACTGAACAACAACAAACAAAATGGGGGGCAGTTTTTTCTTTTCTTTTCAAATTTGGAGAATGACAAAGAAAAAAATAAACCCACATTTGAAGATAGGGGGGTGATTGTCTTGTTGAAGGGAACACTTGGGAGCTTCCAGATAAAGATGTAGAGATTTCATGTTTTTAATAGTGGAGATTCAGGGGCAGCTAGGTGGCACAGTAGATAGAGCTCTGGCCTTGGGGTCAGGAGGACCTGAGTTCAAATCCAGCCACAGACACTTGACACTTACTAGCTGTGTGACCCTGGGCAAGTCACTTAACCCTGATTGCCTCACCAAAAAAAAAAAGAAAAGAAAAAGAAAAATAGTGGAGATTCAACGGGTGGGTTTATGGTCATTTTTCACTCTTGGTCATATGATTCAATTCACTACACATTTGTGATGTGCCTACCACGCGCTAGGCACTGCACTAGTCAGTGGGTATACCAGAGTAAATGAAACAGTTCCTGTCCTCAAGGAAATTTTATTTCCTAGGATGGGCAGGGGTTTGTAGGGGGAGGGGAAGAAAGACAACATGCATAGAGAAAAATAAATATAATAAAGAAACAAAGGTTTTTCAGGGGTGGTAGGGTGAGTGTACTAGTAATTGAATAGGTCAGGAAAGATGTAATAAAGAATGAAACGTTTGAATTCTCTTGAAAGGAGTTGAGATTCAGAAGGGTAGAGGTGACTAGTATTCCAGGAATGGAATCATTCTGAAGAGAGATTCTTGAAGGGGAAAAGTGTTTATTAAGCACCTCCTGTGTGCCAAGGACTATGCCAAGGGCTTCAGGTCTTCCACATGGTCCAATGTGTCAGCCTCCTTTTTGTGTAATTCATCATTCTGAGAGATGATAAAGAGAAAAAGTTCTCATTTGAGAGCAAGAAGAGTATTGGGTAGTTGGGAGAAATATTAGGGTTAAGTTCCTGTGAGGATGCTTTATTTCACAGTCAGAATTCCAGGTGGAGGGATAATCAGATAAATGATGGATACCTTCATTTGCTATCCTTGCAATGTCGAAACAGAAAAGGCCACCAGGATTGTTGGGGGAGAACTTGAGGAGAACTCATGGAAGTATGTGGATAAGGTTGGCCAGGTGTGGTTGGGTTGTGGTCTGCGCTGTTGTCCAGAGAGTCTGAGAATAAGTTGAGAATTCAGATTTCAGCTCCATGAAACAGGGATGCATTTCTTCATTGTCCTTTTGCTTGCTTTTCTCTTTCTTCTGTGCCTTGATCTGTCTGTACTCCACATCAGTAATGAACTTCCTCCTCACTACTGCCTTATAAAATGCTCTTCCTTCAAGAAGCATCTCTTCTTTCAACATGCAGCTCAAGTATTGTCTTCTACTTCATGGATCCTTAACCTTTTTTGGTGTCACGGACCCCTTTGGCAGTCTGGTGAAGCCTAGGGACCCCTGCTAAGGATAATATTTTAAAATACACGTAACTAAAATATTTAGGATTACAAAGGAAATAATTTATAATTAAATATAGCTATAATGATGATGATGATGATGATGATGATGATGATGAGACTCTCAACCCCCAAAGTCTATTTATGGACTCTTTGGGGGTCTGTGGACCAGGTTAAGAACTCCTGATTTACATAAAGCCTTTACTTATTCCTTACAACTGCCAGTAATCTCCTGCCTCTAACTTCTTGTTGTTGAGTCTGGTTTTTTTTTTTTTTTGGCTAGGCAACGGGGTTAAGTGACTTGCTCAGGGTAACACAACTAGTAAGTGTTATGTGTCTGAGGCTGCATTTGAACTCAGGTCCTCCTGACTCCAGGGCCGTGCTCTATCCAGTGTGCCACGTGGCTGCTCTTGTTCAGTCATTTTTGAGTCATGTCTGACTCTTCCTGACCCCATTGTTGGGAGTTTTCTGGGCAAAGATACTGGAGTTTTCTTCTCCAGCTCATTTTACAAATGAGAAAACTGAGGCAAACAGGGTTAAGTGACTTACCCAGGGTCACCCAGCTAGTAAGTGTCTAAGGGCTGATTTGAACTCAGGAAGATGAGTCTTCCTGACTGTAGGCCTGACTCTCTATCCACTGTGCCACCTAACTGCCCCCCAGTAATATTTACTTTGTATTTATTCCTTTATATTAATTTTATGCATACTTATCGATAATTTTTTTGTCTTTCCCATTAGAATGCAAACTCCTTCAGACTAGGAATTGTTTGATTCTTTGTTCTTGTATCCCACAGTGCCTAATACAGTGTGTCTATACATACACATACACACACACACACACACATACACACATACACATATACACATACGTATATGTTTAATAAATACAGATTGATTGGTGAAAATAATCAAACAAGAAAACCAAAATAAAACAGTGTCAGTATTTTTAGAGGAAGAAGACAAAACATTAAAAAAAAATCCCCTCTACCCTGCAACCCTAACCCAACCCAGAAAATGTTTGTGACAGCTTACCAAATCTGTATGCTCTGTTTCAGTCATCACTCTTTTCAAGTTCCCTATTTATTACTCTAGAGATGTGGTGGCATTTTAAAATCCCCATATTTTTCCATATATAAGACATACTTGGTAAGTACCTTGAGCAAACAGGCCTGTGGAACAGGCTTTCTTTGGTGGCTTCTTTGTGGAGTTTCATAGTTATAAGAACTTTATTTTTCTAGCACTTTGTGGTTTATAGAGTGTGTTCTTCACCACTGTGCCTGTGCGTGGTTGTGAGAAAACAGACATTCCAGATTCAGAGTTGGTATGAGCATCTGCTTTGCAGGGATGAGCACTGCTCCATCCGCAGCTCAGTCACCACCCTGGTGTTTGGGGTGGGGTAGCCATTGCTATTGCTAAATCCTTCAGGGCCTTATGTTCAAAGACCACAATAGGAAGTTGCACACAGTTTTTGGTGAGCTAGATGGAAGAGAGCATAGCATTCCTGTAGACATTAGAACAGAACTTCTTAACTTTTTTTGTGCCATAGATTCCTTGACTGTTTAATGTTTTTAAATGCATAAAATAAAATATACGTGATTACAAAGGAAATCAATTATATTGAAATGCAGTTATCAAAATATTTTAAAACAACAAAACAAGTTCATGGACCCCAGGAGAAGAACTAACAATTGGGAATGGAGTCAGGAAATGCCCCAGTTAGGAAAGTGGCACCAGAGCTCTAAGGGAGTCTATGAGCTGGAGAGGGAGCTTTTCAGACAGGGCTGATGCTTCTCCATGCAAATGGAGGTGGCATACCCTACGTGGAGATCTGCTAGCTTACCATACTCTTGAGTCAGTGAAGTCATGTCAACAAGTATTTATTAAGCACCTATTATATGCCAAGGATCGTGCCATGTTCTGGGGATACAAAGAAAAGCAAAAATACTGTCTCATTCTAAAGTGGGAGACAAACAGGCAAACAAATATTTACATGTAGATATAGAGTGGGTAGAAGGCAATCTTGCAGGAGAGATACTAGCAGTAGGGGGACCTGGAACTGTCTGTAGAAGGTAAGGTTCACACTGAGGTTGCAAGGAAGCCAGGGAATCTGAGGCTAGTTGAAGAGGGAGAGCATTCAAATCTGGAGAGCCACTGAAGGGCCATAGAGTTGGAAGATGGAGTTTTGAGCAATGACCACAGCTGATTAAGAGCTAGAAACAGGAAACTTAAATTAGGCTCTATCTAGATGAATACCACTAGTCCATAAATATTTGTGGTGTTGGTACTGGAGCTGGAGATCAGGAAAATTGATTTAATATTTTGTCAAATCTAAGTGTTAAAAATCAGAAACCAAAGTAGAGTTGGACACACTGTCCAACTGATGTCAACATCAGAATTTTGCAGAGGAATTAAACAATGAGGTATTAGTTTAGGAAGGTGGAGTTGCTCTGAAACAATGATATTCTCATGAGGGAGATCGATAAAAAACTTGATATGGAACAAGAACCTGGATAAAGCTAGAGATTTTTGTTTTTTTTTTTACGAAGTGGGATGGATAAAGACATTATTTGTGTTGACTTAAAACACATGTTCACAAATTCTAGTGTTCCTCCTACAAATGAGAATGGAAGGGAAATTTTAACCAAATTGGAAAACAAAACAATAGTTCTTTTAAAGCTGTGATCTGAAGGGAAAAGCCAACACGTTTATAAGAGGAAGATTTATCCCTAAGTCTGGAAGAGTTGAATGAAAGGAATCATGGTTACTGAGGGTAAATACCTTTGACAGCAGGATTTAGTTGGAAAATCAGTCTTCAAAGGTAGTGAGGGTGATTTCATGCCTGCTGGGGGTAGAATGTTGGTAAAGATATGGAAAATAGAGGAAAAAATGCTTCCTGGTGAGCCCTTGAGAATTAA